ATATATATATATATATATATATATATATATATATATATATATATATGTAGTCACCACCACATACACTTTAAATATCTTACAATTCTATATGTTAATTATACCTCAATAAAGTTGAAATTTTAAAAAATCAGTTCATTGGAGGTGCAGGTGTTTGCAGTCGTTGACATTTGGAGTTGGATGAATGAGGTCTCAGAGATCAAGCACATAGGCACACAGCCAGGGAGTTCCTCGTGGCTCCCGTACCCAGGTTCTCCCAGGAGTCCCTGCTGGTGGGGAGGACACTGCTGTATGAGGACACATGTCCCGTCGCAGTACACGGTCAACTGTTTGTGTTTGAGGACGCTGATTTACAAATCTTGAAGATGGGTGCCAGTTATCTTAATAAAGTTGATGCATTAAAGAGAAAAACATAAACAGGAAAAAACACAGGCAACTAATTAGGAAATTAATGGTGGGAAAGGCATCTTTAAGGCCAATGTCAAAACAGATGAAAAGTGTGAAGAGAAAGTGAAATATTTGAACACAAAAAATAAAATATGTCAGGATGACAGAAACTAAAAGTAAAGAAATTAAGTTAAAAAGATGACAAATCAGAGGAAATATATGTATTTTTTTACAAATACAGAAAGAGAAAGCTTTATACTCTAAATACTGATACATGAAGAGATAATGAAGCTGCAGTAAAAGATGGATTGCTGCTGCTTCGGGCCAAGATGGAATCACAGGGTCCAGATTTACCCTCTCAGCTTAAACAAGTTTTTCAAAAAGGGGAAATACATGAAAACGACAGTTTTTAGCCATTCAGAGAATGGGGGTGAGCCCAGAGAGAGTCCAGGCCACAGTACAGGGTCGGGGGAGGTGGGGCTGGGGCAGCCCAGCATGTCTCTCAGCTGCAGTGACAGAGTTGGGTGTTGAGTGGGGCCCGGCAGCTGGGGTTTGCAGGGCAGAGAGGGCGCAGAGGGCACCCCAGTCTTCTGTTGAGTGCTGGTCAGTGCACGGGGATGAGGTGAGAACTGGAGGCCTGGGATCCAGGCTGATGGGTGCTCTGCTCATCTTCACAGTCAGGCTTCCAAGGTGCTCCATGCAGCTTCCATCCTCTACCTGGTAAAAGTGGTAAAGAACATAGAGAAATGGGCCCTGAAGTTTTCCTGGCTCGGGCCCAGAGATATGGTCACTGTCACTCACATTCCAGCTTTTCCTGGGTGAGAATTCAGGCACAGGCCATGCTTCATAGCAGCAAGAGCTGGAAAAAGACCGTTCTTGGCTACACTGCCACTTCCAAGAGCAGCTGTGGAGAACACAGTTTGTGCAGGATTACTTCAATACTGCACGTCAGTTGGGGAAATCAGGAATGCGTTAACTGCCTATTCTATTCAGTTGGATGAATTATTGTTCCCTTTTAAAGAGCATTTCCTCAAGAAAACTTATAATAGAAATAGTTCCTCTGTCCTTTTCATATGTATCTAAATCTTTTTAAAAGCTAAATAAGTCTCTTGCCAGCATTACAATCCAGAAATTTTTTTTTTAAGGGGCCAGACAGCTATCTCTTTGAAATGTAAACCTTAAGATAATGTTCCTATCTCTGTCACCAGGAAGTTTAGGCACTGGGTACCTTACTCTGAGCGGTAACTACCTGCTTGCCATAGAGATATGAGAACTTTCCCTTTTCCTTTGGATAAAGGCAATTAATTAGCAAGGATGGCCACCCATATTACAAGGTGAACTTATAACGAACTATAAAAGACTGTCTAGCAAGTGGAGCTGACAAGTCGTTTCGCGAGACGAGTTACTGTGTCTCTTGAGAGCATGTCTGTGGCCATGGTATCTGCTGAGCTGTATGAAAAGGTGAGGTTCGTTTCTCTCTTGGCAATCGCCTTAGCGGCTCACCTGTGATGCACCGCACCGTCTGGTTTGATGGTTATTCAACAAAAAACAAAACTGTTTTCTTTATTTCTACATTTGTGGAAATGATTTTCTGGGATGGCAGGAGATTTTATTTTTTAACAGCTTCTAAGAAACAATTGGCCACAAACACTTGCATTATTTCACCACTAAGAGGTGTTAATCATTGTCCTTATGATCCCATTTTTGAAAAATGACATTTTTACCTAACATAAGCACAATCCTGTTTTCTTTTTTCAGTTTGTATTTTCTATTTTTTAGTTTTTATACATTAGCTGTGAAATCCAGAAAAGCTGCAATTTCTAGTATCTTTTTCTTCCTTGGAGGAACCATGCGCCTACGGGTAGTACTATTTTATGTCATGGCTGGGCACTTATCCTAGTATTTTAGTGACACTTCTAGTTTTTCAGTTAAATGAACATGATGCAACCCCGCCTTTCCCTCTTCAGGTTGTGAGGGGAATCTCGGTTCTAACCCGAAAGGCCTCAGAGCAAAGTTTCCGGGACGCAAGCGACATCTTTCACACAAGCGACATCTTTCCTTGAACCCTAACAGGAGTAAAGACAAATGAGAAACTTGAGTCCCGGATCCCAGCGGGGAGTCCTCGAAACACCACACCTGTTAACCGCTGGAAGAGGTAGACTAACTATTAAGACCGTCCCTAACATGACGGCCTGCAGACTTTTGGGAAATAGAGTCCTGCTATTCGTCCCGCTACCCCGGTTGGGCCCTGCCAGGCCGAGTTCCGGCGCCCTCCTGCGCATGCGCACCTCACCCTGTGTGCGTGTTCGCGCACGCGCACTGCCGCCGCGCTGCTGTCGCTTCCTGTCGGTGCCCAGGTCACCGCTGGTCCTGGTTCCCAGGCTTTGGCCTCCTGCGGGCGAGGATCCCGGGGCCTGGGGACTGGATGCTGTCCGGCCGGGCCGGCACCCAGCAGGCGTGAGGCTTTGCGGGCAGGGTTCGCTCAGGCGGGCGGAGACTCGAGCGGGCACCCCCGGGCGCGACCCCGGAGCTCGCGGGCCAGGCCCGAGGGGCCGAGCGGCGGAGCAGGGGCGGCGGGCTCCGGACCCGGCCCGTCTGCATCGCGGCGGCCTGGCAGAGGCGCACGGCACAGTGAGGCCCCCGGGAGGAACGTTTTCCTGGGTGAGTTTGTCCCGTAGGCCCAGAGCCGGCTCCTCGGAACAGCGGCCTTGGGAGGCGGAGAGGCGGGGACCCAGGGAGAGAAGCGCCGGAGGGGCAGCCTCCATCCTGCAGCCTCGGGAGCCTTAGGGCAGATCAGCGAGTCCCGAAGGGGTAGGGCCTCGGGGCAGTTGTGGATCTTCCCACCCGCGGTGAGCAGGGTTGGGGGTAACTCGCCCCGGGCCAAGGACCCGAGAGTGTGCGACAGGGAGGGTTTGACGGCTTCCCGGAGATCCGAGTGCCTGGGCAGGCTGCTCCGGAATGGGCGCTCCCCTGAGACGTGAGAGTTGTAGGTTTCCCCGGGGAGCAGGGGGTCACAGCCTCCACCGCGGATGTGTGGTGTCCCCTCGTCCCCCCACACCCCAACGCCCCTTCTTCTGCCCCTGCCCAGATTCCACACGGGACTGTAAGGGTCCAAGAGGACCTTGTTGTCTGGCCTGTGTGTGTGCAGATTCCCTTGGTTCTGCCCTGTGGAGTCAACAGCAGTGCAGGATAGGTCTGCAAGGGTTATGTCCTGCTGCCTGGGTTGACAGAGGATGAGACTGGGCCTGAGAAGGGAGATGACTTGTCCAAGGTTAGTTACCAGGTGTGTAGGTGGGATGGTTAACAGGACTCAGACTCCCAGGCCAAGTGTTGTGTCCACTGTATTACCGTTAAGTCAAAGTAAGTTTCTTAAGAGAACCTTTTGAGCAGCATACTCAAGTTTGTAGAAATAATTTAAAGACTCAGCCATTCCTGAGTGTATCCCTTTCCTCAGAGCATCCTGTGGATTTTCTAATCTTAGGTATAGGTTAAAAGAGTTAGTAAGAAAGTAGATGACTATAACAAAATTTCTTTTTTTAATCTCTGTTTAATAATGGAGGATTATTTCAACAGGCTTTGATGTTCATTGACTAATAAGATATGTAGCCACTCATTC